AAAATAAACAAGTGAGATTCTACCTCTCATCAATATGGTCTGGGATTTCCACATCATGACCTTCACGGGCACTTCTTTGAGCTTTTGTTTTGCTATCCAAAAGCTCTCGATGGAACCTTCTTCCCGCAGAACAATCATTTGCATAACACTTCCAGTAATGTGTACTGATTTGTTCTAGAAAGACATGTTCTGTTCTCAGTGTTGAGCATTCTTCCCTATAAATATATGTGGAAAATGTATGACAAAGTGGAAAAAGTTTATTTGTGACGCGTTTCGTCCTTCAGGACTTCATCGGACTAAATTTGTTATGTTGGTATGATTACACATGTGCACGAACGAAGGGTGCTGAGGTTTTTAGAATTAAAAAACATTAATTTTTGGAATTTTTTAAAATATATAACCGAATTAATTTACAGTGTTTTTCTTTTCCTTTCCATCACGTTTGTTAGTAGGTATCATATAATATAATTTATGATAATAAAAAGATCTTCCAGAAAAGGGGGGCAAATTTACTGTAGATGATCTTTGCAATCAAGACGCTCTCTATACATTTACGTTGTAGTAAATTGTTTTCACTTTGATCGGAATAGCATTTTTAGGTTAAAATTGTGATCAGTCTCGTTACGGTGGGCAACCAAAGCATTTGACGTATTATTACGTAAAATGTCCCTTTTGTGTTCATATAATCTTTTATTTAGATTCCTTGAGGTTTTCTCCTATGTATTTTTGTGGCAGTTATTATAGGCCATGGAGTAAATTCCTCCTTCAAGTTTTTAGTTTAGTCCTTTATTGTTTTAAATGTAGTAGTAACAAATTTTGTTGGCTTTATATAGATTCTTTTCGATTGTAGATGTTATAGACTTAGTAGGTAGAACAATATATTTTTATTGGGTTTGTCAAGGGGGGTCGGTTTTGTTTTGGAACATTTTATGAACCTTTTGTTTCACATTAAATACAAAGGTTACTGGAGAATTTGGAATGTATTTCTCCTCTTCGCATAAATAATGTGGGCTGCATATTATTTTATTTTTTACTCAATATTGTTCTTGATATATAAAAGTATATATCTATCTCTTATATATATATATATATATATATATATATATATATATATATATATATGTGTGTGTGTGTGTTGATATAATAGGAAAGAACTGTTAGATTGATGATCCGGAGTTCTTTAGTATTTTTGCTTAAAAAAAAAAAAAAAAACAGTGCTTGATACAGAAGTAGAGCCTAAATTATGATTATTTTTTTAAAAGTACGATTCTATCACGACACAGAAATTACTGTTTTGAAACTGGTCATCCGTATTCAAGTTTAATTTTAATATTAAGCCTTAACTGTTGGATGACTATTTCATTCTCAAGTGATTCCAAACATCGATAATGTGTCGTGTTAGAATCGTATTTTTAATAAACAATCATTAGGAGGCACGCAACTTTCACAGCGAATGAACACGTGGTTTATCTTTCCTTTAGTTTTTTCGAACAAATTCAGTCTTGCCGTAAGGTATTTATTCAAAACCGTTGATCATATTTTCGTGTTATTGGAACGATCTTATAAATAACGTTTCACAGCAATACACACCACTACAACTGGCAAGTCTCCATTCGGTCCAATAGAATCAATAAATTTATGAGACGTTAAACCTCTTTGTCGAGGAAAATATAGTTAATAATTTGATTATTCGGGCATCACTTGTGCCAGAACTAAAATCCATACTTATTTTATCGAACCGTCATAATGTAGGACCTTTCATTTGAAATGGTCATAGCATTTCGGTACCAATAAACACAATATTATCTCTTGCTTTTTTTTTTCTTTCATTAAAAATTTCTCTTCTTCAGTATAGCAGGAAACAATTTTTTTTATTAATAAATGCAGTCGCTATACATCATGTCAAGTCAAAGTTTTCATAATAAAATTGTTATTAAACAACTGATGCTGGAAAAACTTTCAGGGTATATTTACATTAAATATTAATATAAGATTCTACTGGAAATAAAATGAGGATCATTTTTCTATTGTTATTAAGTAATAATTTGATCCCCTATAATTATTACACTATTTCAGACTTTATGATGCAAGTCAATGTTTTAATAATAAAATTGCTATTAAGCAATTGATGTTGATAATATTTTCAGGATGTACTTTTGTCCCATTCAACTCATAATATATATATATATATATATATATATATATATATATATATATATATATATATATGTGTGTGTGTGTGTGTGCTTATATATATATATATATGCTTACATCTATGGATATACATATATGCATACATATTATATATATGTATATATATATATGTATATATATATATATGTATATATATATTTTTATGTATATATATATATCTTTATATATATATATCCTTAAATATATATATCGTTATATATATATATATATATGTGTGTGTGTCGCCATTTACTTTTTTAATTTCGCACATGCCTGTTTTTTGTTTTTGATTTTGTCGACTGCACAGTATAGTAGGGTCAGTTGGGCACCGTCTGTGAGAAAAAGAGCACCATGACGAAATTCACACCACCAGAAAGTTGGAAACGGCATGCTGTACTGTTTGACGTTTGCGCCGGAATCTCCACTACGAACATTTCATTGTTTGGGTGTCAATCTGGGGAGGGAGTTCATTGTAGAGGGTTCAGAAAGAGTTGAATGAGTCCAGTAATGATTATGAACAGCTTGAAAAACTCACTCTGATCATTCTGATAAGAAAGGAACTCGAGAATTTGTTGGTGAGATCTAGGCCATGACTGGCAACGATCCCTCTAAGTCAATAAGGTTAAAATATTGCCTTTTTATGTTGTTCAGTATGAGTAATTTATGTCTTATTGTTTCAGATTGTAAGAATATTATTCAAAATATAGTTCGGATCTTGCCACTATGTTCGTTTCAGCTAAAGAACCCATTAGAAATATTGTAGTCTGTGGGTTTCATAAAGGTGTCAACGCAAGTACAGCAGCAAAATCCATCCATCGCGATTATGAGGTCGATGCAATGAGTGAAAGAACTTGCAAGATGTGGTTTTCTCCTTTCAAAACTGGGAATTTTAGTTAAAATCACAAATCAAATAAAAGTCGTCTAAAATGACTAAATTCAAAGGATTTGGAAGCTGCGAACCTGGCAAATCCTGCCACCACGCCTAGTAGGCTTAGATCGACGTACCAAGACGGGAAGCACTCCAGAACCATTACCATGAAAATATTTATTGAAAAGGCACAAGTAAACCACGTCATGATGGTGGGTAAATGACTTGTCGAGATGCTAGCCGACAACATTGAAGACCCCACCTCCTTTGGATTTTGTCGAGAATATTGTGATATATAACAGAAGCACCAGACCAGATATGGTAGCAATATCCAATGCAAAGACGAGTGGTACATTTATAAACGTACAAAATGGATTCTAGTGAGAAAAACTTCTCGCACGACACAGTAAACTCTCTTAGCAGCTGACGTGGAAATTGCATTCAATTGCTACAATTATTCCTCTTTATCTCTCTCCTTCTGATTAGAACATTCAACCAATCCTGATGGAAAACAAAATAACAGTTTCGTTTTGAAGGCGTTCACGACAACTTCATCTACGATTTTTGGAAAGGATTATTACCGGTGATGATTTTTCTGAAATGACGAGAATTTTTCACAGAATTGGAAAATAAAGGAAACAAATCTAATTACTTGCATTATTTACATTATTCGGACTGTTATCCTCATCTTCATTGCCATAATCACAACGTTTCGGCTGTTGTACGCTCCAGCCTTCTTTAGATGATTAAAATTTCGAACCGAACCCTACATTTCGTCCACTGGGGTAGATTGTTCTAGTTCCACGTGCCATGCTTCTTCCGGATGTCTCAGTTATTTCCCTTTAACTGAAATCTCCAAGACTAAACCCAAAGAGTTGTGAATTAAATACTAGGCCACAGCAGTGGTGAACCAAAAAACTTGAGTTGAATTAAAGGGAAAATAACTGAGACAACCGGAAGAAGCATGGCACATAGAACTAGAAGAATCTACCCCGGTGGACGAAAGAAAGGATTAGGTTCGAAATTCTAATCATCTGAAGAAGGCAGGAGCGTACAACGTCCGAAACGTTGTGAATATAGCAATGAAGATGAGGATAACAGTTCACATAATGTAAATAATGTAAGTAATCATAATACCTCATCTCAGAGATATAGACGGATATTGAAATCTTCTAATATCATTAAAATATAAAATTTTAGGAAACTCGAATGTGTTCGGTAAAAATGTTTTAATAAAAGTCGATGGCACAACTTGGAATAAATTTTTGGAAGGAACATCGGATTTTTCTTTTCATCGAGACTAATATACAATTTTTTTGCCAAAAAAAAAATTAATAAGAATATATCTATTCTTTAAAATTGTTTTAATTCTTTTCAATTTGAACTCATTATATACTTTTTGATGATATATATATTTGATTTAGAAACGCTTCAAGCATCGGGGAACCACTCCCCTATCCTTCCCAAGAATTCTGGCGATTCCGAGACAATAAAAGAAAGAATCATAATCGTGTATGTTCTGAAAGGATCCTACCCACTACCCACAATGCCATCAGAACCCCCCCCCTGTTAAGAATAGGGTAACAGCCTCATCAAGCTTTGTTGCTGGTATGTATTACGATGTGGAGGGTGTTGTCCTTCTCATACACTGGTTGGCAAGTAAAGCTCTAGAGCCCAGTCTGCCCTGCTATTTAACCCATAGCTGGAGAGGGAGAAATGAATTCATATCTTTTCCAAGGGTATTTCTGCAATAATGAATATAACGAGCTGAAGGGAAATTACGTTTAATAAATAAAAATAAAAAAAAAACCTCCTCCAAATAATGAATGCCTTCTTGGTTGTGATAAACTGTTTTGAAGTCTATAAAGATTAAAAAAATAATAAACATTTTGACGATGAAAGTATAAAAAAAGTGTTGTTTTCTCCCCTATTTTTGCAGATGTGGTCTAACAAGGCGCTAACTGGAGAAAATATGAAAAATGGAGCTGCTAACCCTAATGTCGTAAAAGGAAGATCCCGTCATGGTTCTTTAGGTGGACAGACGCAATGGCGACCAAGAGTAATAACAGTAATCAGCAACACTAATCGCGAACTTAGGGAAAGGCTTATTCTTAATCCGAAAACAACGCAGAACTTCGAAGAACTTCCTCTGTGGAAAGGGCGCCCTGTTAAAGCTCTGTATACAATACAACCGCCATACATAAAAGTAAGATATATTTTATTTCTTTTTTAATATTCGTACGTTTGGTTCGTGGCCATCTTTTTCATTTTGAATTGACCTTATATTTTCTTTGTATACTGTCTATGCTCGTATATAGTGTGAGAGTTTTTTTATGAACAGATTTTTTACGCCAAAAAATAGTGATTTACACTATACACAGGTAATATTTTTGAAGAGGTTAAAAATCATGCATTTTCAGAGACCGATTGCACTATACACAGGTAAATCCTTTCTGGATGGGTTAAAATTCATGCAAAAAATTCAAGAGTCATACTATATTTGAAATTGGCTTATACACAAGTATATGAAGTATGTCATGATTTTATTTCGCTTAAATTTCCCAACAGATATTCAAAATAAGCCCTCAAAATTAATTATTAATTCTAGTTTTACATCCTTTTCAATGAGCAGTAAAGAATGAACTGGCTTTTGCAACTAGCGAAAGATAATATAATATGTTTTTATGTCACTGGAGGACATTACAAGTATTAAGGTTTTAACTACGTTCGTTTATTTATTCCTTATTGTGATATCTGTCGTTATAGTTTGGCAAATTGTCAAAATTGGTGTATTTTCTTTTTTGTTTATTTATTCTAACGATGAAGAAAGACGATAATGTGCGATATTTTCGGCATTTGAAGAAAAGCACAAATGATTTCGCAGTTTATTGAGAAAATACTGCAACAGATAGAACGTGTGAAAAGTGATTTGCAAAGTTTCGCTGTCGAAATTTCTCTGTGAATTATACTCCACGGTGGGGTAAACCAGTTGACGATGATAGTAATCATCAAATTGCGATTTTTACTTAAGAATAATCAATGTCATACTATGTAGATGATAGCCAGCATACTGAAAATATGCAAATCAAATTCTGAAAATCATTTTTATCAGATTAGATATGTTAGTCGCTTTGATGTCTAACTTCCACATAAGCAAAAAAACACATCTGAAATGGATTGAAATGCCCTGTTTTTGAAACCAATATTGACAGACGATAAAAAGTGGGTATTTTACAACAACGTGGAACAGAATAGATTGGGGTGCAAGGGAAATGAACACCCATTAACTGTACTAAACGCTGGTTTTCATCCAACGAAAATGATGATGTACATATAATAGGACTAGAAAAGTCATCTATTATGGGATCCTTGAGTGATTCGAACTATTTAAAAGAAAGATCACCATATTTCTTTGGTAACAAGCCTCGCAGTTGTTACAGCTTTACCGGAAAATTTTAATTCATCCGCCATATTCAGTAGATATTGTCTATTCCATAAAGATTTTATTCAAATCTTTAGAAGTTTGTTTTAATGAAAAAGAATTTCAATTCTCTAGAAAACTGCAACTTGAGTAATTCTTTTTACAGAAAGGTAAACATTACTAGGAAGATTAAGAACTTGTTTCAAATGAAGTATTTGTGAACCAAAACGTTAAATATACTAAGACTTAATGATTTTTTTTTCAATTACTTAGCAGCCATTCTTTTTTTTTCATTATGGCAGCAGGTTTGGATTTTCATAAACGCGTTCTAATAACTAACTTTATTGGAACAAAACTCTATATACATATTGTGTTTATATGGCTATGTCTTATGTGAACCAAAAAGTAAGGTTTGTTTTTCGATAGAAATTATAACCGAAATTAGATATATTACAGAAATGTTCTCTAACCTTGTGTTTAACGGAGACGTTGTTCTTCCATAGGAAGAAATTTTAGAAAAGACTTAGTTTCCATAATACTTATGCACATATATTATACAAACACACACGAACACACACATCATATATATATATATATATATATATATATATATATATATATATATATATGCAATTTTCATTAAAGACGAATGATAAGGTGCTGCGGTTATGCCTTTCAGTTAATTTTTCTTGTGTCCGTATAAGTTTTTTTCTTTTCTGATATTTGTGGTAAGATATGGGGGTCGAAAAGCGGTTTCATGCGCCATTTTAAATTGTATGATAATGTAACACCCGCTGTTGTACTCTTAAGCGTCCTGTTTGTGTCAGAGTATCCCTATGCTGGGATAAAGTGCCACATTCGTTCAGCACATCAGTAGATATTCTCCCAAAAGATATGTAGTAATGGCCGTACTCGAACATAAGTTGGCAAGCAACATATATATATATATGTGTGTGTGTGTGTGTGTGTGCGCGCGTGTGAGTTAAAAAATATAGTTTCAGGTATGCTTCATTTATGGGTAAAAGTGCTCAATATCCTAGATAGAACGTATATAAATATAGACTTGAACCCTGAGGTCAACACCGAGCAGCAACAGTCTGTTTCATGCTTGAACACAATCTTCAGGACTGAAGATCTGGGAAAGAGATCATAATCTGGCATGATCATCCGATTGAATCAATAACATTTTAGAATAAGCAGTTGTTCTTTGATTATTTAAAACTGTTTGGTGGGTGAGACTCAATAACCAATTCAGGTGTTGCTGTTTATCATGTATTCTATGAAGTTACAAGACATTGTGACCGGAAGTTTGAATGTACTGGTCTTGTTCAATCGGACGATCAAGCTCAGAACTGTTTCAGTATAAACGACAGCTTGATTCTATGGGTGTTTAAGAAACACAAGTATGCCTGAGAAGGCGTTTGCAACAGGGATTAGTTAGCCACACTAACAGATTGAAAATAAGTATATTGAATACATAATTTAATCTAATAGGCGTATGTTTGTGGAAATTTACAATAATAGAAATAATCCTATTTGCTAAACTATAAGACGCACTTTAAAAAAAAGAGATCCTAATATTACAGTATGTCTAATGTCATAGTATTATAAATAGATGACCAAGTCTTGCTGCTAAATAATCTCGAGAGAATTGCGGAAAGAACTGGACTGCAAATATCCAGGTTTTAAAACCTGAGACTTATAGATCAGCTAATACGTTATTTAATATTGCATCAGTCATAGGGAAGGTTCTGGAGAAATTTCCCCGCCTTTCTTAAACTGCATATATTAAAGCTTTCCGATCTAGATAAATTCTTTTTTCTTTTTCTTTTTTAATGAAAGGTTGAGAGTTACTCGCAGCTCTTCAGAGATTTTAAGGATCATCACACGTTCTTAGCGTGCGGAGAAGAATTGCCACTTGAACTAAACAATCAAGCCCTCTCAGAATCGGATAGTTCCGGGATCGATTCTGTAAATGGATTCCATGATATTCGAATACCAAAAAGAGCACAGATACACGGTAGGATTATTTTTATTTAAAGAACAGATATATTCATCCTTATCAGAATCCCCATTATCATGGCCTTGTGGCAGACTAAGTCAGTAATGGCTTTTTTTCCAAACTAGACTGAGTTTCTTTAAAGGAAACAAACGATTAGCAAAATAATTACGAAGACCATTCGCCAGTACTGTTGACTATGTTTAGACTGACACAAGGCCAAAAATATAAAATACCCAGTATGACTATTCCCCAACGAGGCTAGACCATTTCCTAATGCACTGAGTTCGATTCCCTCTAAGTGCCCCACTGCCTATGTTAAATAATATTCTATCAGAAAGCCATGTTCGTTTGGCGCAACAACATCTTCCTATTTCTTTTTTTTTCCATCTGTCCTTGTATCGTACTAAGCAAAGCTTATTAAATATCACCCTCGCTTATACAGACTTGCTCAAACGCGTCCTCTGGTATCTGCGTTAGAACGACCGTTAAAAATCTTGTCTCATTGATTATTTTCCTCGTGTAGCAGGTTCAATTCTTTATCGGAGGTCCTGCTCTTGTACCTAAACATACATGCCCGTGAACTCCTTCAAAAACCACTCTTTCTGTGACATTCCTTATACAAAGAGAGAGAGGGTGGAAATATATCGCCAACTTTTAACACCTCCATTGCCAAGTACAAATAGGTCGTGAGATATTACAATTGCCTTTAACGTCTTCGTTTATGCCACAGTTTTATGTAAAACCATATAAATAACTACATTTTCAGGTATTAGATAAATAGCAGGGTAGACTGTGCTATCTAGCCTTAAGTGACAGCTAGACTAGAAGGATTATGAATTTAAAACATTTGAGATGGCAACAGAAAACAACTCCACTATCTGTTGTAAGAGGTCATAGCAATTCACTGATAATAAAGAAAAGGTACCTGTGGCGTTCCGTGGTCACCTACGTCCTAAAGAAACATGACAAAAAATGGCTACGGCAATTCTGTAGATTCAATTTCTATCTGGGCGTGTCTATTTTCTTGCGTTCTAAACGGTGCTATGCAAGATAGAAATGAACGTTCTAAAAAGCAGAAACTAATGTAATAAAAGCGATTTGAATATTCCTTGCTTCTAATCATCATCATCATCATCAGTCCTGTAACCGGGTGTTGCAGTAGTGCCATTGCGGAGCTGACTACCTGAACAGTTCTTACCACCATATATCTGTGCTGAAAGCCGGAAAAATATTAATTCATGCTTAGCGTCCAGATTTTTCCAACTTGAAGGCTCGCCATGGTCACTGACTTGTGGCCATTGATTTTATCCAAGGAACCCTCCGTCCTGGCTGATTACTTCAATCTAGAAAACTCTCAATTCCCAAAATCTAATGCAAGCACCAAAATACAAGGACATTTTAGTTAATGTTTAGTTAGGCATATCGACTTTGAATCAAAACTCCCAAAATGGCTTTGTAGAAAAAGCTCGAAAGCAAAAGAAAGAAAATACATTTTTTATTATGAATTTAATCATTTCTGTAATTTATACGAATCATTTTCTCAATAACTGGATTTCTAATCAAGCGATGGTGAACTTGATGCAATTTACTGAGATATTAACCCTAGAACACTAACCATGTGTATATAGTACCCAGCGCAAATTTTTCTATTTTTAATTACAATTTTCAGTACCTGATTTTCTTACCTAAATAATGTTTTTCAGTTCCTATTAATGTTAACTCAAAGTACAAAATTTGACGTGCCTGCATGTAAAATATTTCAAATAAATATTTATATTTAATATTTTTTTGATATTTTCAAAGTCGAGTATGATATACCTATGGTTAGTAGTGGTGTAACTTTATTTGATGGTTAGTGTTCTAGGGTTAATGTAACTTTATATATATCAATTATCAAGTATATATTAATTTATCTTAATCTAGCACAAAATCCTTAAAATTTTGGAAGATTCTGTTGTGCCAATCTCTCTAGTGAAAACAGTCTGCGTTGCCGTCTACGTTCAGGTGAAATGAAATTATCTACAGCACTTAAAATGTTTAATGTTAATACGATTAATTCTACTTTTAGGGGCAGCTTTGCCCAGCGTTCCACCAATCAACGAAGACTTAAGTAAAAACCGGAATGGTGTACCGAAACCATTTAGTGATCGTCCTTTTGCACCGAGAACGGGTGCAGTCAGGGTGGAGATATTAGGACAAACTCGTGGTGAGTGTCGCTTTTATTTTATTTACCCACAAACATTATATTTTAGTTCTATCTTTCTTTCACTTTAATTATATTTTTACTTGATATTTAACGATTTTTATTTGGTACAAAAGCGAAATTGTTTTTATAATAAAAGAAATTATCAACGCATTAACAGTGATCTTGGTAACAATTAAATATGGTTAATATGAATTTTCTAAATAATATGCGGCAAATTCTTCACTGCCTTGTAATTAATATTCTAATTTCAGACCCTAAAATCTTTTCAGGAATTAATCCCAAAAGAACCACACACAGAAAAAAACAACAAAAGTCTATCATGCATGGTAAAAATATTAAGAAATAAAAATTAAAAACGATAAAAACTGAAACTTTTAATAGAAATTCGGATTTAGTATGCCATGAGAATAAAATAAAACGACGTAAAACGTTTTGTTGGAAAGCCTTGAATAAAAACAGATATAATGAAAAACATTCTGGTTAAAAGAAAAAGGTGGGTAATGTATACAATGAATGTATAAGGCCAATTATGATGCATAAGAATTAGCGAAAATGCTTAAGAGACAAAAAAAAGTAGGCGTGCGAGAAAAAGGATAACAAATGGGGCAAAAGCGTTGGTTGAATGGCGTCCAATAACAAACGATAACGACCACAATAGGAAAAGACCAAATAAAAGATGGAGACACCAGATGAGTTTTCTGATATGACGTGGAAGAAAATAGCACAACCACCACCATCATGGAAGGAATTTGGAAAAGCCTTTTGTCAAGCATTGAGCACAAAATGGCCTATTATTATTGATATCATAATTATTATTAAATAACACTAAGGATCCCTTAGATGATTAAATCAGCACACCCATATAGCAGCGGACGGTAAATGATTTATATGCAGGCTATCCAGGCAAATGATGCGCTGCTCGATTAAATGAAAGATGGCGATAGCTTATCAGTCCTAACGCATCAGGCATTTTAGATATTGGCCTAGCATATTTATATTCAAGATAAATATTATATTAGTATCCACTTGGTAGCAACAAAAAAAACTGTTTACTTTCCTTATTAATGCTTTGTTATTCAGTTTAATTAATATAAGACAAGATTTCCCTTACCATGCGCATAGCGCAATGTTCTAGTGTCCTAAAGCAATTCTATGTACGGAATCACGTTTTTAAAAGTATCTATATAATTCTCAAAATGTGTATGTATGTATGTATGTGTATATATGTGTATGTATGTATGTGTGATCGGATGTTGTTTATGTATTTCCACAGTTTTCATCCGTTTTTGCTGATTTTTTTTGTTTGATAGATAATTCTTCAGTGCCAGTTTTGACTTCCAATTGTTTATGACAATGGCTCTCCACTACTTCCTCTTCATTATAACTCTCAGCAACGTTTTACTATTTACTATCTGTTCTTGGATATATATCTTTCATAATAATTTTAATAAAAATAAATAGTTTAAATTATTACAATAATATTATCTATTATTATACACTTCCCTTTTCAGGGCCACCCTTCATTCAAATTGTTAACCCTCCCCCCCCCATTTTTGGATGTACTTCAGTTGCACCCAAATGTTGTTACTAATATTGATTTTCGGGTGGGCTGACTTTAAACTTAAGCTGCTCCAAATATTCCCAATAATGAAAGACCCGGTCAAAGACGGGTTATACTATAATTATATATATATATATATATATATATATATATATATATATATATATATATATATATATATCTCAATTGAGGCCATTTTGATAAGTTTTGTGCTGTTTATTCTTTTTATTTTGCCTGACTTTGAAAAATAAGTTTATTTATCTCTCGCTATGTCATATGAAAAGCCTTTTTCTTTTTACTTTTTACAGAATTTTACCCACCAACAGTCTTTGACGCCATAGATGATGGGAGTAAACCTGATAAGCTACTTACTCTCCAGTGGGTGTATCCTTTCACAGGTGTAAAAGATCGAATAAAAATTAAATTTGAGCCTGCTTCATAGCCGAGGTAGTTGCAGAAGCCAGTGTTCGTATAATGATCAAGGCAATAAATGGAAAAATAGTTCACTGGTTTCTATGGAAAAAAAGCTACAAAAATATTTTTTTTCAGTCTTAATATGAACTTGCAGTTCTTGAAAAATGATTATTTCAGAATCTAGCATAGTACCCGTAAAAAATGATCCGGTTATTTACATATAGGTCGGTCGTGTATCTGTGCCTACACTCAAAATGTCATATCCCGGTACTTCTGTCTAGGATCGAATCATAGCTGCTCGGCCTTCACATTGGGATCCATATTCAGTATCTGTTGCACCTCAACTGTGAACTCTTATTCAGACGAATCCAGTTCTTCGATATTCCGACCCCTAAACGGCGTATCCCTATTGCACTATCAGGGAGAAATCAGAGTATTCTGACGACATCTTGACGCTGGTTGTGGGGATATTAAACTATGTGTCACATCCTAACTCCGTGAAGTTTATTATTCAGTGTATAGTATAAAATATAAAATGTATATATGATAAATTCAATAGAAATAATATTGCCTTTATTTTAAGACATTTTTATGTTTATACATTCTTTTTATATACAAATATTTAAGTAAATGCTCTGTTTAAAATAAATAGTATTAAACAACATTTACCGGCCTGAATGTCCGAGAAATTTTCATAGAAAATATTCGTCCTCTTTCTATGAAAATGTGGCCCAATCGGTTAAAGGCACTTCAGGCTATATGACGGTTCGGAGGACGAATATTTTCTATGAAAATTTCTCGGACATTAAGGCCGGTAAATGTTGTTAATACTGTTTATTATAAACAGAGCATTTACTTAAATATTTGTATGTATAAAAAGAATGTATAAACATAAAAATGTCTTAAAATAATTGTCGGACTTTGTCCATTTCATAATATTGCCTTTATAAATATTTATTAAACTAGTGCCCGAAAACCATAACAAAGTTTGACACAAGCCTTGTGAGTGAAATTGGGTAGACGGAACTTTGGGAGCCGTCGATGGTTGTGCTAGCACGAAGTCACAAGTCATCGTGACCGAGAGTTTGAGCGTGCTGGCCATGTTCAGACTGTTGATCACGCTAGATAAGGCGTTCTCTCCTAGAGACTATGATCGGCTCAGCATCGTTGCAGTATAAACCACAGGTAAGTTTTGTGGGTGCTGAACAAACACAAATGCGCCTGAGCAAGCGTCTGCAACGGCGATTGTCTAGCTGCCCAAGTAGACGGACATTCTCGGATACGAGTGGCCAGACATTATAAGGACGTGGGCTGTCAGGGCTTCCCACAACTTCCTCTACTTTGCAGCTCTAAGTAATGCTTTTTTCTGTTGTCATCACTCTCTGCAATTCACTTACACAAGCTCGTTAGGTAAGTTATTCACTGTTTCCCCCCACCCAAGCCTTCGCATATCAAAGTGTCAAATTTTCTCATTAAATATTAATCTGCTACATGGTTAAATTAAATAATGAAGATTGTTCAGAACCATTTTCTTATGTAGAGAAAACCTTCTTACCTCAAAAATCAGTATTCCAAACTTTGCTTTCGAAAATTTGGCCGTCATCTAAAATACGCTACCAATTTAAACGTGAAAGAAACTTTTTCATACGATAAGATTGGGAAATTTAAATATTAGATTAGTGTCTTAAAATTTTGTTATAAATTAGATATTCACTCCAGCATTAGAAAAATGTATTTATTTTAAACCTTTTCTGCTAAGGAATGTTTGATTTTATATATATATATATATATGTATGTATATATATATATGGGCACTTTGTGATGTTTTCGCCATTAAACGCAACACTTCAGTACAATGAAGAGTTATTGACTCGTAGAATGGATTTATGGAGAGTAAAAAATATTGAACGTTACATTTTAATAAAATGCAAATTTAAATTAAGTTATTTTCTATCTATTCTGATTAACCTTTGAGTTTTCCTTAGCTTTGTAACCCCAGATATGGGTACCGCGGCCATGACACGCGGTATAACCTTCTAATTTTACCTTCCACTGGAGAGCTTGTATATTACGTAGGCACTGTGGTTGTGATATTTGATAGAGTGAATGGAATTCAGAGACATTACATGGGCCACACTGAAGACATCACATGGTAAGTTCTAAATTTTGATTTGATTTTGATTCTAATATTTTTTAAGTTATGATCATATGACAGAGGAACTTTTAAAATATGAACAAGTTAATACTTTCTGTAACTATCTATATTTTTCAAAGCACATACTTTACCAACTATGTGTTTATGTAAATAATGTACGCAAATATATGTATATTTGTATGAAGTATTCATAAAATGTTATATTGGTGGATGGCAGTCTTCCAGATTATTTTATGAAGACTGCCATCCACCCATATAAAAACAACATCAAATGTGGCGCCTAGCTAGTGTGTCAGATATGATCTTTTGCCTATGGTAACTCAAGCGATGGTCCCGCTGTTACAAAAAATCGTACTTTCCGAGGCAAAATGGATGAAAGTTCTAGTCTCGCCGGGAGACTATTCTCTTTTTCGGATTTGTGCTGCTTACGGATGACCGTATACTGAATAGTTGTAGTGAAATCGATTAAAATTAATCTGAAAAAGTACTGTAAAAATTAATAAATGTTTTGCAATTCGGTGAACTGTCAGCGAGAAAGAAAAGTCCTACGGAAGAGGTACAAAGATTCTTTGAAGAAGACCACCGCCTTCTGCGGTATCGACTACTGCTATGGGACAACATAAGCTGCAAGCAAGAAAACGAGCTGCTTCTTTTTTCTTAAAAAAACACACAGTCCAAGTGTAGAGGAAAGAGACAGTAATGTCAAACTGAAGTTTAAGTAAGAATTTCTTTTTTATCATTCTTCTCGAATATTTCCTTTCAGTCGCCATGTCAAGGCATACTTCTTTTTTCTATTGAGCTATCAACGTGTTTGCATTACACTTTCTAAGGAGATTTTCGTTCACGAAGCGAAAGCCAAAGTCATCTGAAGTTTGAACGGCTACCACAGTAATCCAGAAAGCAATACGATCTCTAAAGCTATTGATTGTAGTTCTGAGGTCATGAAATCGTATTTTTCAGCTGCAATATGTGACTATATAAGGAATTCGGGAAAAGTGTAAGGCTTATCAACAGAGAAATAGATTCAGTGATCCGAGTTCAATTTCCGGTTGGTGTTACATTCATTTTCTGTTAATACTCTTAAAAAAAGGTTTGCTTTTGGCGCCATTAATATTCCATCATGATTGAACATTTGACTCAACATAGAAATACAGGAAGGCATAAATTCAAATTCTGTTTATGATGTAAAGTATTAATTTCTCAAGCAGTCCATTGTGTCTATGACTCTGCGATGGTGTTGATCATTTCTACTCGATATATAAATTATCCATTTACTTCCCAACGAATACAAATAGCATTTTAGCGGAATTGGTAAACTGCTCTAACTTTAAAAATGAAATCAATTTCTAATCCAATTTACAAATTAAGAGTTTAATTTCTTAAGTTAAATAACTCCATCTATAATAAATGCATTTTACGGAGTCATTTCCCTTATTTATTTATTTGCAAATAATTACAATATAAATTCGATAAATATAAAGTATCGACTTCAATGGTGGCCGATGGTGATGGCGTTTAAACCATTATATAAACCAAACAGTCAGCATCTCCCCAAGTTAGGTTGCATCTGAAGATGCGTGAAGTGATTTTGCAACAAGGCGGCTTAAATAGACAAACTCTCATGGTGCCACTGCCTCATCCATTCTACAATCCTGATCTGGCACTCTCAGTCTTTCATCTGTTTAGGTTCATAAAAAAAAACTCAGTGGACAGCATTTCTTCAATGGTAATGAAGTAAAGAAATCACTCATAATGGTTAAAAAAAGCAGCCAAGAAAACGTCACTGAGCTGGGTATACATGTCCTCATTCAAATGGGGAATACTAACGTAATGGAACAAATCTATACTAAGGAATAGATTTGGGTTCTTTTAATTTTCATTTTGGTGTGACTTTTGTATTTCTACTATTAAATCTGTGGTACGAAAAGGCATTACTTTTTGACCGAACCTCGTACGATGATTGAGAAGGAAGGAGACTATGTTGATGACTAGATTTGAAATCCTGAAACTTTGTGATGTTTTGCTATGCTTCGTTCACTTCTGTTATAAAGAAGGTCTGAATTTTTGACCGAATGAACCTTATAACTTTACATCAGAAAGGATTTACAGTGAATTGAATCTTCCCTCACGATAGTCTCGTATCAAATATTTTATGAACATCGTTTTTCCTTATCGATTCAGTATTTTGGTCTTTTTCCCGATCGGATATCCTTTAAAAAAAATCATTTCCTTTTTAAGTGTCTGCTTTTAATAACAACGTTATTCCTTAAGAACAACGGTGAAGGCCGGGCTGTAACATTGGACATCTCGAAAGACTTTGACAGGGTCTGTCATTCAGGGCTTCTTGACAATCTGAAAAGCTACGTTATCTCTGTCACACTTTTGAGCTGATCCAGTCGGTCCTATCAAATCAGGAAATGAAAGTTTTCTTGAACGGCCACTCGTCTACATCCTTTCGTACTAAGGCAAGTATCCCCACCCAGGACTCCATCCTTGGCCATAGGCTGTTTTTAATCTTCATTAACAACCTCCCCGATGACATCAACTCTCAACTTGGCATATACGCTGGCAAAACTGCCATTTACTCCTGCCTCGATAGCAGTCAGAAAAGGTCAAAATGGCAACCGATGTCGAAAACTAGCTCAAAACCGTTGTTAACCGGGGCAAAAGATGGCTTGTCAATTGTAAAGCCTCCAAAATTAAACTGCTCTCCATTAATCATCTGAGACCCCCTCTGCCTTCCATCAGCATGGCTGATGCTAACCACCAGAAAAGTGTCTCATTGCGCCTTCTCGGGCTAACATCCTCAGCTGACATGAGGTGGGAAGACTACATTGAATCCATCGCTAGATCAGCTGCTAAGAAAGTCGGTTCACTGTTTCGGGCGAGACAATTTTTCTCTCCGGAATCTATCTCGTACATCTATAAGTCTACCATCCGTCCATGCTTAGAATACTGTTATCATATGGTCCGGTGGCCCTGCTATTTTCCTACAGCTCCTTGATAAGATCTAAAGAAGAATCAGCAATATTATTCGTCCTGATCTTGTGTCTCGGCTTTTGTCACTTTCTCACCGCCATAAGCTTACCTCTGCTTACCGTTTTATAAATACTTTCATGGTAATTGTTCCGGTGAGCTCTTCGCTATTGTACTTAGACTGTATAAATTTAAGCGCAATACTAGACTGGCGTCGAAATCTCATCAATTTACAGTTAAGCTGGCTAGATTTAGCCGTAACTTCTATGCTAACAGTTTCTTATCTAGCACTTCTCGTTTGTGGAACTCCCTTCCGGCCCATGCTTTCCAACAAACAAAAATTTAAATGCAATGTCAATCGCTATCTACTGTCTTCTATTTTCTCTTTTTCCTCATTACCAATGTTTCTGTTCCTAATTCCTTCGCATCATGTAACCAATTGAGTGTTAGTGGCTTTACTGCCTTGCTTGGGGTGATACGTGATTTAAAGAAAAGAGCGCGTAGTTTAATTTTGTGTCCTTTTCGTTATTTTCACAGATTTTATTGATTTTTTTTTTTAATTGCCTACTAAGCAAGTGGATAAGATCTTATATTGAAACGTGTTCTCACTAAAATAAACATATATGAGATCATTTAAAATTTAGTTAAAGCACACATTCCAGAGTCTTTGATGCAAAACTCTTCAGACTAGGTATGTTTTTATTATATTTTTCATGTGTTCATGATGTTGGGAAATATTTGTTAATATGATAGTAGACGCATGGGAATTTCCTCAAACAAGAGAATACGAATATAAAAACATTTACTTACAATTAACAACATATTTTATTGCCTTAGCAAACTAAATAGAAAGAACACAAAAGCGGTCAATGAAGATGTATGTATATATGTAGGAATGTCTTTATCATGTATGTATGTAGGAATCTCTTTATCATAAGTACGTATGTAGGAATGTCTTTATCATACGTGCGTATGTAGGAATGTTGTTATCATGTATGTATGTAGGAATGTCTTTATCATATATACGTATGTAGGAATGTACGTAGTTATTAGGCTTTCATGAAAAAATTTAACAGCTTTACATTTAGGAAGAGTTTTTTTTTCTATCTGTTGGTTTCGTAGAATTATTAGACGTGCCTTCGTGTAGTCTGATACGCTTAAGATATTGTATGTTATGTATTATTTGGTGATGTGCTATGTTCAATGCGACACGAGTTTCACAGAGGATGAAAAGGGTCCCCCAGAGGAGAATGAGATGCGTTTGATTTGTAAGGCATCTTCTTAGCAAATATGAGATTTTCACTTTCTTTTTTATATACTGCTTTGGTAATGATTGTTAGCAAAATTTCTTAGATAAGTGATCCTATATTGTCAAGTAAAATACCTTCATGCTCATTTCTTATTCTCATTTGAATCTATCTTTTAGTTGCTTATTCTCCATGTACTCCTACGTAAGTTCACAAAAGAAAAAGATAAACTAAAAAGACTTATAGTTCAATGAACACAAATATACATACGATACATTAACATTTTTAGTTTTTCAACATTTTCATCCTGTACCCCCTAAACACGCAACTTATCTTAACTATGTCTTAAATCGTGATGTCGTTCGAAGAATATTGTTGTGGAATAAATAATAGTACCCCTCGATAATAGTACCCTTCAATAATAGTACCCCTCGATAATAGTACCCTTCGATAATAGTACCCCTCAATAAATTAAACGGTTTATCATAAAGGCCTGCTTTATGTTACTTGCTCATTTTTAGCCTTGCGATGCACCCGAATCAAAAATGGCTAGCGACAGGGCAACAAGCAGGAAACAGCACCCAACAACAGGTAAGATACTAAAAATACAAGAACGAAAAAGTATCCATTTATCAAGTGTTGAATTCATAAAAAATATCTTGTTGAAGAAAATAATAACAGTTACGGAAACATAAATGAATTTAATGACCCGATTATACGATTGGGCTATTTTTTTAAGAATTGATATCAAGAAAAAAAGGACAACTAAATTTGAAGATTAAAGCACACATACATACATGTGACTAAATTCGTGAACAGATGCTTTAATCCACTCGGTCATTATGGACTAGACGTGATATCCTAAGACATGATCAGTAAAACAAGAACAGTCTACAACCGTATATTAAATAGAGGGTTCAGTTCAGAATTCTTTGTTGTTTCTGTTGTTTTACATGACGCGCAATAGTCACATCAAATTTAACCTCTTGATAACCTCTATTAACTCATTATTATTAATAAATTAAATAAATTATTAATAACAAATTAATACCTCACAATTATGTTGCAGCGTTAAGCCTGTTCGGTGCTGTAATAAAAATGGGACAGACAAATTTATGTTAAAAACTTGGATATTTGAAATGCCTTGTATCACCTTCCATCCACCATATATTTCAGTTAAGGAATTTTTGATGGCGATGGTTTTAAAATGAGATGTGAATTAATATACACATAGTTCCCATCCGTGAGCCAAAGGTCCCATTTAAGCCTTCCTCAAAAACCAGGCTTTAAATGCCCTCCCTTACATTGGGGATTTAGCTCGTAGTTAATAAAACATTAAATCCATTTTATTAGCAATCTGCAATTTTCGTTTTTAGAAAATTGTTTTAGTTTTATTCTATTTTTTGTTCATTACAATGAGTTCCAGGCAGCTCATATTCGCATTTGGGACAGCAGGATGCTGAATACATACGCCATTATTGGCCTTGGAACTATGAAGGTTTCAGTGTGTTCCCTCGGATTCTCCATTCAGGTAAATAACAATCTTCAATATTTCAGTAAATTTCTTTTTCAAAACCGTTCTTTTGAACCTGTGATTTTTTTCTTCTTGTCCAATAATCAAGCATTTGAGATAAAATCTAACAATATCCAGTCTATCATCGGAATTAGAATGAAATTTACTAACAAAACGATTAAAGCGGTAGTATTTCTATCGTTAGTATAATCACTTACTAAACATTGATTTTTCAACATACACATAGATTTATTTTCTTCCAAAATACAAGCAGAAAATCAATAAAAGTTTTAAGCTTTTAAACACGACATACAGACGCCATTTTCTTTATGAGTCCTAAGCTGTCGATGCCATGAGTAGAAACTGACATCGCTGCCTTTATAAGTTACCAATTATATTTTGATATTACTTTCCTCTTTTTGGTGTGCACTTTTATATTTTCCTCTTAGTGTACACTTTTAAATTTTCCTCAGCGTACACCTTTATGTTCTCCTCTTAGTGTGCACTTTTATATTTCCCGTTTAATGTACACTTTTATATTTTCCTCTAAGTGTACTCTTTTATATTTTCCTCTTAATGTGCACATTTATATTTTCCTCTAAGTGTACTCTTTTATATTTTCCTCTTAATGTGCACATTTATATTTTCCTGTTAACGTACACTTTTATATTGTATAAATATCATATATGATAGTGTGACAATATGAAAGTAATAAAACGTCCCGTTTTGCAGTTTCCCACAAGCTATATAGGCAATACAGCAAACATGTGGGAGAAGGTGCTGCGGTAAGACGAAATAAAAAAATCAACATTTTGGCCTTAATGCAAAATGCTACGTGTGGCTGAAACCTGCACATCACCCTGAGCCTACCGTCCCCACCGTGAAACATGGTGGTGACAGCATCATGCTATGGGTTGAACCAAATACAGGGCAATCTTCGAAGAAAACCTGTTACCTGCAAACGAGTTGAGACTAGGGAAGACGTTCATCTTTCAGCAGGACAGCAACCCTAAACATGCCACCCAGAGTTACAATGGATGAGTTTAAATCAAAGCATATTAATGTGTTAAAATGACCCGCCCAGATCGAAATCCAATTGAGAATCTTTGGCACGACTTGTTAATTTGGTGTTTACAGAATGTCTACATCTAATCTGTCTGAGGTTTGAGCTATTTTGCAAAGAATAAATTAGCTTTGATAAAGCAAATCTGTTAGAGATACACATCCCAAAATATTTGCAACTGTAATTGCAGCAAAGAGTGTGGTATTTACTCTGTGGGTGGTGATGAATACACTTATGCATCTTAGTGACGACTGCATTTTGGTCTTGATAATTGTCCGTACCATAATGAAGTGCGTATGTTCCACCTTCAAAGCCCTGTGCATTTTTTGTGGATCAAATGGTAAAAAAATAACATGCCAGTCAATTTGAACTCTAGTTGATAACACTGGAAAATGTTGAAAAGTTCAAAGTGGGGTGAATACTTATGCATGACATTGTACGTAAAATAACAAGTGAACAATAAGTTGATTCGAACGTTCAAACGGAAGATAACCATTTAAGTAGCCTATCCACTCCAAATAGTGAATATGTAAGATTCAGAGTAACAGAATATCCATTACGCCAATATTATTCTGTCGGAGCAACACACCGAGATTCAAATTTAAAATATTATATTTGGCAAACGAACAAAAACTAAATTAATGATAATATTTATTGCCGAAAAATACAGAACTTCGGCACAAAGTCAGGAAAAAAAAGAAAGTGAATAAAAATGGTTCTAATTATAAATAAAACTCATTTTACAGGCAGCAAAAATAGATGAACAATATTCCTTCTATCCACCCCATTTGTCCGTCCATCAACTGCTATCCTAGTTCTTAATTTGCTACTAACCACCTTAATCAGTCTAACCCAACCGATTTTGAACCATGCTCCACTTTGGTATTCCTAAAATTCTGGTGTCCCCTGTAATATTTAATTCTTACATATTCAAACCTTTACTGCAATCCACGCGAAGGAAGCTTAAAAGACCATTAACTTGATCTCTAAAGAAGCCTCCAAAGACCATGGCATCCATGAAAAAGAAAAATTAAAAAGACAGTTAAATATAAATATAGTTTCAAAACATATAATAGCGAACTGAAAGGCAAAAATATAAAATAATTGAATGAAAGCTTATTCTGTAATATACTTTGATCATTTTAATTATGAAATAATAATGCAAAATGAAATCTGGGCTGACGTTGGTATAGTAAATTGAAGAGTGCACATCCTACACATGCCACACCCAAATATTACCATGCCCCCCCCACCGGTGGGGCATGCGCCCTACGTTGGAAATCATTGATCTAAATACTAACATTCAAATTTGTAAACAATGGGTTGGTAGAAATGGATCGCTTAGCTAGTTGCATTTTACCATGATGTTCAGATCTTTAAGGAGAATCCTCATTGGTGGGGAGTCTCCCTCAACGACATAGTTGCAAAAAAAAAAAAAAAATACTCACCAAACTCATCACTTTTACCCATTGACCGCTGAACTCCTCCAGAGTCAACTTTTGCTTGCCTCATTTCACCTTTACTTGAAATAAGTAATCAGGTCACGTGAAGCCCGTCACATTTTACCTGGTGTGCCACACGGCCATTTCAGCTACCCTGTGTGTGAATGGTTATGTGTTCCGAGCCTTCCCATATTGTCGCAAACGTACGAGGCGTCTAGATCAAACAAACTTCCGGGTTGCATGCGAATGACCCCCCCACTTCCACCCCCATACAATCCCAGGACGAACTGACAGTGATAGAAGGAGGCCGTGCTCAACTGTCTGATCCAGATCACTGCATCACCCGCACTCGGACGATTCCGTTATTCCCATCCTAAGCCTAATATCAGGACAGACGACCGGTGAATAATAAAATTCGTGAGGGAGTTGATATGAAAGGCCCAGGCCCAGACTACCCAGAGATCCTCATCTGATGGGAAGATAACGCTGAATAAGTGGATAAACAGGCAGCCGCCTTTACTTTGTTCTGATGAAGGATTCTCCTGAGTCTTGTGGAATTGTTGACCTGATTGACCTTGGATAGTTTGTTCTACGGCAGAAACAATGGAAGGAGCTGATCCCAAACACAAGAAAGGCAGATATAGCACATGTCACTACCCCCAATACTAGGTCACTAGTCATCGTTCAACTTTTTATCTTGACTAATCTGCTTTTTATTGATATTCATGACTCTCAGTTGAGCACAAAGCCAATTGAAAAAAAAGAGAAAAAATCATGTTAAGCTAATTTTCGAAGTTCGAGAAGACATGGCGATCATGAAAATTAGAATGTAAAATCATAACTTTTGAACCGGACTCAAACATCGATTTTGATACAAGTGATAAATACGTAACTAATTCAGCCACATGCGAAGTCACTCATCCGTTCATTACCTCTTTACTCTCATCCGTTCATTACCTCTCTACGCTCGTCCGTTTATTACCTCTCTACGCTTGTCTGTTCATTACCTCTGAACGCTCGTCCGTTTATTACGTATCTACGCTTGTCTGTTCATTACCTCTGTACGCTCGTGCGTTCATTACCTGTCTATAGATATCGCTAAATATCCTTAGACATCTATCACGCATCGCAGTACTTAGCACTTGTTGCGTAATGTTGTTAATTCTAATAAATGTAATTGATTCTTATTTTGCTTCTTTTGTTCAGAGTAACGGCGATTTCCTGCAGGCTGTGGATGAACATGATCTTCATGTACTCCGGGTTTGGGATTGGCAAAATGAGAAACTCATTGCTCAAACAACGGTAAGCGTTTGAACGTAAGCATTTTGATAAAAAATCTGTATTAGATCAGTTCTTACAAGAACTAAATTAATTGTATTCAGAGATTACTTGACTCACAAAGATATTTATCTAGTTTAACCTAGTTGTAAGTCCAAATTGTGCAGAAAAGAAATTACTTCTATGTCAATATTCCGAGTTTCATTGGAATGTGAGAATTTAATATACCACGTGGCTGGGATATGTCATATCTTGCATATGACATATCTCAGCCACGAGGTAATTTATATTATCAAATTCCAATGATACTATAGTGATTTTCATTCATTAACCCGGTGGACGAATATCACCGTCTCATATCAAGTGTGCACTAATATAATATATATATATATATATATATATATATAATGTGTGTGTGTATGTATGTATGTATGTATGTATTATATATATACATATATAAGGGAGAGAGAGAATGTAGACATATCGAAATGAACATATTGAACATATTGATATAGGTGATGTATATAAACGACGAACCAGCAGCCAGAGCGCTCAATTCACAATTGAAGAGCGGTGCGTTAAAAATTCCCTTTTCCCCATCGTGCTCATTTGGATGTATATATAGGATGATTGAAAAGTAACTCCCTATTTTATGTATGAGTGGCCAGCCAATAATCCTGACTTAACAGCCTGTGACGTTTTTCTTTGGGGTGTGTATCCGATAGTTGACATATATGATAGGAAGTCACCTACAAAAACACAATCGGAATGAAGTAAAAAGATCAATCAACTATAATATTAAGAAAATCCGTGTTTTGCAAAACAAACTCAGTAAACTCATTAACAATAGCAAATGGTCCAATGTCGGCAGAAAAGACCTAATAACAAATTTATTCAAATTTCAACTATCGGATACACAACTAGAAGCACTCAATTTTGGTCAGAAATTTGCCACTGGAATATCGAAATATGACACCACGGATTACATAATCAAAAATCATCATCACAATGACTCCGATTTTACCAAAGGCTCTATCCAGGGCCTAATCACAGCTACACACAAAAATACGAATAACACCGCACTTCCTCGAAGATACATCAAAGCCTTGAAAAAATTAGCTAACAACAAAAACATCCATATATCTACTTCTGATAAGGGCGGGGGGAATTGTAATCAAACACATTTACCAATAGAAAATGAGAGAACTCATTAACGATGATAACGTCTATGAAAAAGTAAATGAAAACAAAGCTATAAAAGAAACACAAAAATTTACAAGCGACATCAAAAAGTTACTAAAAAAATGAAGACTTCTCTGGGATAAAACTTACTGAATACCATCCAAAAACACCCATATTATACGGATTACCAAAAACACATAAACCGAACATACAAATGAGACCTATCATATCAGGAATAGGCAGCGCCCCACATAAAATAGCCCGCAAACTAAGTTTTAACTCCATTTCTCGGCACTATTAGTCCATCACACATAAAAAATTCAGGTGACCTCCTAAACAAATTAAAAAAACATAGACATTAAAAATAAATATATGGCTAGTTTAGATATAAAATCTCTCTACACAAACGTCCCCATAGAGAAATGCTTAAATCTACTAAAAAACACCTAACAAAAGCAAAAATTAAATTACTTCTACCTACACATAAAATCATAAAAATATGCCAGCTAATTACCAAGCAATGTTTCTTTACTTTTGATAACCAACATTACAGACAGAAATTTGATTTACCAATGGGATCTGCTCTCAGCGGCGTTCTTGCTTGTCTATTTTTAGAATTTCTAGAGAGTGTCCCATTCAAAAATATTCTCCATACAAACTCTTCATATTTCAGATACATAGGCGACTCATTATTAATATGTCCACAAAACACAAATCTAACAGATCTTCACTCCAAATATATATATATATATATATGTGTGTGTGTGTGTCTGGTCTCTTATCCCACCACCTTTCCCATATGGATCTTAACAAAGATGGATATAAATATCTTCCTCTCACTTCCCTCTCTAATTCCGATCACATATCTATCGTCCTCCTCCTCCTCCTCTCTCTATCGTCTTATACCAACTTAAAACTACCCCCTCAAACACATGTGTGCATAACACATGTGTGCATAAATTAAAAATATGCCTGTCACCAATATTTTTGTATGAAAATGGAGATCTGATGAATTAGGAGCAAAATAAATTATAATCCCATGAACACTTAAATTTGTCTGTTTCTTAATATAATTATTATTTGCTCCGTTTTTACATTGAGCTTTCTGGATTATATCCTCCTTGGAATTATCCATACTGATTACCAAATAACTTCATTAACTAACTACATATATATATATATATATATATATATATATATATATATATATATATATAGAGAGAGAGAGAGAGAAATGAGTGGAGAAATACTGATGAGCCGCAAATAACATATTGATTGTCTTATAAGTACTGAGCATGTTATGATTACCAGTATACGTATGGTCAGTTAAGCTAGTCTCGAGTACTCCATTTTGATATGTTGAATGCTATAATTATGGGCAAAAAGAAATATTTGAATGATGTTGATAAAGGTTTAATCGTTATGACCTGAAGACTAGTTCAGAACAGTTTGGAACTGTTATGAGCTGTGTATTGCTTACATTCATTTCTGGTCAATACCGATCAACATTGATCCAGGAAGGGTACGACGCTAATAACTATCAAGTCATTGGGTAGCTGAAATTTACACTGTGTTTATTGTGGCACAATTTGCAAACAGCTTTAAGCTGAAGGAAAACATGCGTCCCTACATACATAGGCGTAGTAACCTCCTAACCAATATCCGAAAATGTCTTTATTAGTCTAGTGAGCATAGGAACTTGATCTTTTATCAATGGAAAAAGGTTCCCCTTACCGTCGTGGGAAAAAGATGACACTGGGTCAGTAGAGGTAATGAAATGGTCAGAATAAAGTTCGTCAAAGAAATGATTGGAACCTGTCATTAATGTAGAAAGTAACTAAAAGACATCGTTGAAGACTGAGTCTGCTTCTTCATGACAAATATTCTAGAGTTGCAGTGGAATCTTACAATACGCTCTGTCACACTGCACAAGTCACTGCAAAGGTTGAATGGAAATAGCTCCAAGAACATGAAGTTGCACAGGGGTGCACATTTTACAGACATTAATCCAATTCCATAATGTGTCGAACCAACAAATTCGCTCTTCAGAACATCCACCGGCTAATTTGCAGCAGTTGGAAAATTCGCTGTTAACAGCCTGGAACTAAATCTTTAGGGATCTCTTGTTGAGAGACAAGTAACTATGAGGTCGATGAGAATAAACTTTCCATTCATCAGTGAATGTCCTGGTAGTTAAAACCTTCCTTCCAGAAACAGTAGCCAAATTCCGCTCAGAACAGTTTCAGTATAAATTACAGGTTGGTTCCATGGATATTAAACAAACACAAATTTGTCTGGGCAGGCGTCTGCAACAGGGATTATCTAGCCGCCTTAGCAGCCGAGTGTGCTTAGAGACCAGTAACTAGCCATTATATGCATCCCGTCGTATGAGTGTCAAGCAGCTCAGTTCCTAGGAACCGACAGCCTGACACCAGCACATGAGATTTGATTATAATGGTGAAGGTTTTGAACAGAACCATCCACACTTATTGAAGGGCCGAATACAGAGACCTGGTGCACTACGTGCCACAAGGTCCCCAAACGACTCTCCGCGGGTTTTGAATTCAGAGTTGTCCTTCTCCTAGACCAGTTGCCATCCAAGGCTATAGAACCCTGTCGGTCTTGCTATTTACCCATAGCTAGAGGGAGAAGAAGAGGATTCATACCTTTCCTAAGAGTATTAGCATGTAATGGATTCGACTGGAATTCGAACTTGGCTCACCAATTCCTCATTCTGAGCCGATATTACTCCACCGTACTGATATATATAATGCCTATATGAACATTTATATAAGAAATGTATATGCAATAGGTATATATGAAAATTTAACAGAATTTGAAATTTAACAGAAGTTATGTCTCAGTTGTAAGAAACTTCATATATTTTTCGTTTATAGAGGCCGTATCAATCATTCAATTCGAATTATCAAAGATATGGTTAAAGAAAAATCATGTTCAGAATCTAAGTTTTCAAACTGATCATAAAGCACTTTTTCAGTCGTTTTTGTAGGTATTGCGTATGTGTGTGTGTGTGTAAATATGTATATGTGAATTTACATGCACAATATATGTTTATCTGTATAGTTCTATATAAGTGTGTGAAGTTCTGAAGAATATAAATAGAAAATGCTTGTGCAAGTAATTTTACTTTTTATTTTCATTTGCCTTTTTTCCTGCCAATAATCACTGCAGACAACCCCCTATTCGGTGATGTGGTCTGGATTCCACGCCTTGACGACACTTTGCTCATCACTGTCGGGCGCCAGCATCTTTATTTCTGGAAATTGGCTTGGGACCCCTATCGCGAGAGACAGGGACGTCTGCTTAGAGACACAAGAAGCGGGCATTTCGACGTAAGTCAAAATTTAACAGGAACATTAACTATATATATATATATATATATATATATATATATATATATATATATATCAAGTATAGGATTGGTGTATACGGAATAAATTCCAATAACCAACAAATACTATTCTTAAAAAGAGTGCTCAATACAGAGTGGAAAATATAATCATTTATTCGAAAATTATAACATAAAAAATGTTATAAAATCACTACAAAATAGCCATTTTGTTTCAACACTTCTGATGTCTTATCAAGATTTAACACCATCATTTGATAAGACACCAGAAGTGTTGAAAGAAAATGGCTATTTTTGTAGCGATTTTATAATATTTTTATGTTATAATTTTCGAATAAATGATTATATATATATATATATATATATATATATATATATATATATATTATATATGGTATATTTCTAATTTAGCTATTATATAAAAAAATAATAAAATTAGCCCAGAAACTTCACGGCGATATATTGAATATAGCGGTGAAATAATTGATAAATAGTACAAAATAAAATAGATTTAATTAGTGTCTCGATTAAAATTTAAAATTGGAATTAAAATTATAAACTTCTATGCTTTACTTTACCTAGACACAATGTTTGTTAAGAAATTTTACTTTTCGTTAAAGAACGAATCTTCCTCGCAGTAATCACATTTTAACCCGGCATATTTACGTTTGACAACAGATGTTGATTTTATGTTAGAGAAAATGGAGATGTCCATTTAAATGTGTATTCACATTTATAATTTTTAATAGCAAAAATTAAAAAAATATATTTTAAACTAAATTACAATTGAGATAACTCCGAAAATATGCTTTGAGGCAATCAATATTAGTTTAATCATGTTTATAGACTGAGTTTCTTAAATCAAGCCTTAGCATTATTATAAAGTTGCAACTAATTTATCTTTTGTCTTATTTTTGTGTCTTTTTATCGCAGCGCCCAGCTCATTTTAAAAACATTGAAAAATAAATGAATGTGAAATTAATAATTATAATTAATAATGACAACAATGTTTCTTCTTAATCGAAAAACTTAAGCCAATTTCTTTGACTGCTATTTGTTGTAAACAAGAAACATGGTGTGAGAAAACCCGGCCAAAAAAAACGGTCGATGACTAAATATAAAATTCGTCCCTTTGACAGGTCTCCGTGACCAAATTGATAACGAGTTGTCCTTGTCGGCCTGGTTACCAAGAATACAAAATGAAATTTCAAATTCCATTGCTAATTACTTGTTTATATCCAATACTTGCTGCTTATGTTGTATCGTAGACTGAAAAAAAACTTGAACGTCCCGATAAAAATCAATAATATAGTTTAAAATTAATTCAAACTATATTATATTCAAACTATATTCAAACTGATGGTTTATTTTGTTAATATTTCCATATACATTCTGCTCTTCAAAAGCCGGCGTTTTAAAATAAGAGGTAAAATGTACAAATAAATAATATGTAAGAAATTATTAAAAAGTTAAAATAGTAAGTCATTAAATAATTAGATTAAATCAATGAGAAGTCATGAAAATAATAAAATGATTAAAATAATTGACAACAAATGTGCATGGAAATAATAACATTGGAATAACTTACAGAGTTTGTACGACTTTTTCAAAATGGCCATTAATATCATTTCTATAGTTATTTTTGCTTTTATCTTTTCCTTTATGGCTCCTCTTTTTCTTCATAATCTCTCACTCTTTCTCTCTTTCTCTCCCTCTGAAAATCTTTGTGTTTAGGGATTTTAATGTTCGTCATAGCAAGTGGCTTAATCTTTCCAATGTTGTTGGTATTCAAACTTTCATTTTGTCCGTTGTTCAATGTTTCAGTCAAATAGTAGATCCTCTATTCATTTCCTTGATTTTTTTATCAACCTCCTCTCCTGTCTCTTGTCGATCATCGCAACTCTGTCCTCTTGGCTGTTGAGATTATGCTGTAGTATCTGTTGATACTGTTCCTTTTATTCACTAATAGAATGAAGAAGCGTATAACCTCTCACAAGCTAGATTCTCTTGACTATTTGCAGAACCTGTAATAGCGTGTGTTAAATAAGAGTAACTCTTCTAACCATCCTCTTTTCACTCAATTTGAAATATTATCATCATTTATTGATAAAGCAGAATGCTTTACTCGTAAATTCTCTTCCAATGATATTCTTGACACATCGGAAGTATCTTTGCCTGACATTTCACTCAGAAATTAATTTTCTACGGTGTGTGATAAGCTTATACCTCCAACTATGGTTTCTGCTAAATTGGATCCCCACAAAGCGTACGATTTGATGGTATACCTGTAATAGTCCTACTGAAATCTACTTCTGAAATAGCTCATATTCTCTCTAAATTTTACAATAAACGTCTTGCTATTTCTTGCTTTTCTTATTGTTGAAAATCGGCTTCGGTGAACCGTCTAATCCTTCTTACAATCGACCATTTTTTAACAAAATCCAATAATCTCTAATCAACTCCAAATTGGTTTAGCATCATCTTTCAGGCAAACAATGACTTTCGCTTGTCTAGGTCAACAGCTGATGTACTAACGATTATTATTGAAAGACGCTGTCAAGCTTTATATAAGAATGGGGTAGCGCCGACAGTTACTTTGGGTAATTTGAAGTCGTGTGTCAAGGTGTTTGGCATTTGCTTGAAAGATTATGGTACTATGTGGACGAATATTTGATTTGATTAAATCTTTCTTATCCAATCGCGAAATAAGTTTTCTTGAACGGACAATCGTTTTACATTAATGCGGGAGTCCCCAAGGTCACTATCCACGGACCAACGTTGTTGCTAAATTCTCATCAACGATATTGCCGCTGTCATCACCTCTCGACACGATATCTATATTAATAACACAACTATTCATGTCTTTATTGTAAGTCTGATCAGTTTGATCAGGTCAAATCAGCAGGTGACTTCCAAAGTTACCCTCAAACTGTTACAAACTGGGGTAGGAAATGGCTTCTTCATTGTAACGTCTCCAAAGCGAAACTGTTCTTTTTTAATCGTCTTAGAGAATCTTTCTTGTCTTCCATCAGTCTGGCTGATACTAATCTCCAGGAGAGTGACTCATCACCGCCTTCTCGGCATGAATATGAAGTGAGACGTTCCTTTTGAAACAATTGCTAGGTCTGCTGCTAGTAAAATTGGTTCACTGTGTCCTGCTTGACAAGTTTTTCGCGCCTGAATCTAGCTTACACCTTTATAAAGTCCATGCATTGAATACTGCTGTCATATCTGGTTTGGTGCTTCTGTTATGTATCTAGATATACTTGATAAAATCCGAAGAAGAATCTGTAATGTTATCGGTACCGACCTGGCATATCGGTTTCAGTCACCCTCTCACCGCCGTAAATTAGCTTCTCTGTGTCTTTTCTCTCTCTCTCTCTCTATATATATATATATATTTTCATGGTGATAGTCCTGATGAGCTTTCCTCTTTAGTACATCAACTTTACCAATTTAAGCGCAGTACCAGATTGGCAGTTATTATTTTACAATTGAAATTGTCTGATTTAACCGTAAGTTCTATGCTAACAGTTTCTTCTCTCACACGTCTCGCTTGTATAATTCTGTTCTGGTTTCTTATTTTTCAATCAGCTTTGATCTTGAAACATTTAAAGGCAATGTCAATTTTCATCTCCTTTCTCTTAGGAAACCTGTTCTTCTATTGTCCTCGTAATAATGTTTTTCTCATATTCTGTAACATTTAGTAACCCCCACCTTGCGTCTTAGTGGCTTTATCGCCTTGCTTGGGGTGAAATGATTAAATAAATTATTGGCTGTATTATTTTATTTGGTGGAGAATATTGACTTTTGCAGAAATATATTTTAATTTTGAGCTTTGCCTTGCATTTCTTTTTCTTTTCAGGACGAGTCGACTCGAATTTTGACGTGTGTGTGTTTCTCTGCCTTGGGCGATGTCATTGTGGGGGATTCGACCGGTTCCATATCTGTGTGGACTCGAGAGGATGACGATGATGATGAAGATCTCTTTATCCTAAACAAATATTTTTCTGATAATATCCGTCCAAAACACAAGGTGTGTAAGAAGAAACCATGCGACCAAATTCTTTTTTCTGTCTCTACACTAAAATAATTTGTTACAAACTGATTGAAAATAGAGAAAAGGATTTTATGCGTACAAATGTGCCAAGTAAATAAACCGGATATCCGTTAGTTAAAATAGACGCTTATTTCTCAATTGTAATTAAATGGATGCAAAAAACAATGTTTAAATTACTGCAAAAAATTGTTTAAATATTTATACAAGGCAATATACCAATCACATACATAGGACAATATATCGTGTACACAATTCAATATAATATACACAAAAGGCATATACAGAAGATTCTGTAATGGATATATACAAAAACAACATAATAAATTCGCGGATTTATAGGAATTGATAGAAACGCACGGGCCACTAATGTTGAATATATTAATGGATTTGTGCAGTCTGTTTCCTACAATTTACTAAGAAAGAGTCAATAATTTTAGAAAAAAAGGGCGTGTCGGCGATCATGATCAGAATTCGGTAAAGTGGAACATCTTAAGGGAAACTCTTGTGACTTCAGCGAACGCGATACTCCCATGGAAAGAGAGAAAAAAAAAGAAATGGATAGCAGATTAAGTTTTTGGGCTGATGAAAACAAGACAGAAAACAATGACAAGAAGAGGCACTGAATATAGAATATTAAGCCAAATATTAGATACAAATGCAGTCAAGCAAAAGATGAATTACTGAATGGGAAGTTTACAGAGATAGAAAAATTAAGGGACATAAATACAGCAGGCGTGCATAAAAGAATAAGAGAAATAACAGGACAAAGACATGCTCCTCAAGAGGGTGCAAAAATCTAAAACAGGAACGCCCAAGATAGTAACAGAAAAGAGAATAACCTACAATGCATAAACGTTATACTAAACTTTTAGGTGAGATCGACCTTGACCGAGATGAACAGAAACAAAGCAGCAGGGCCAGAAGGAATGGTAATAATGTCATCCTTAGTTACGATTTCGGGATTGATAAGATTATTGAAATACTAAATGAAATGTATGGCAATAGTAAAATACTGGAAGATTTTATCAGGTTCATCTTCATATCGATGCATAGGTAAATGAATACGCAATCCATTGGACAATCAGTTTAATCAGTCAGAAAACTAAGCTTACTGTCCGGATTCTGATGAATAGAGCTCATAGGAGAAATAGGCAGAAAATAAGCTAAGAACAGTGTGGCTCCGTTCATGACGCTGAGATGTTATTTTTATGATCAGAATGCGATCAGAGAACGCATTAGAAATAAAGAAAGAACGTATACCTTATGTTTCATAGATTGTGCAAAAGTATTTGATAAGATACGATACAAACCTCTGCTTAGAAAACTTGATTTATTTCGGAAAGTTATTCGAATAATCCGTAACATTTCCTGAGAAAAAACCGCTTACGCGCGGAAATAGAAATAGAGTTGACAAAAAAAGAAAATGGCGTAAAGCAGAAATGTGTCTTCTCACCAAGTTTATTTAACCAGGCGATCTGAAGAGAATTAGATTCTAGGTTTGGTTTGGTTTGGTTTGGTTTACGGTATATCAACCTCAATGTGTTATTTAATAACGATAAGATTTTTATTGCTGGTAATTTTTTTTTTCATAAAGTATTTCTGGCAATATTTTTTCAAAAATCTATTGCTGGTAATATTTTTTCCGAAAAAGTATTGCTGGTAATAATGTATTTCTACTAATAATTTTTTCTTCCAAAATTTATTGCCGGTAAAAAATTTTTGCAAAAATGTATTGCTGATAATTTAAAAAAAAAATGTATTGCAGGTATTAAAACCTATTTTTACACTTTCATAGTGTTTTGACCTCAGTTCGGGGTTAACTATTTGCCCATAGCTGGGACCCTAACATGTGCTACCACCCCGGGGCAGGGTGGACCTGGGAACACCAGCAATTAAGAGGTGGTTCCACACTCCTCAAAATCTCCTGATCAGAGGCCTTGCTGCCGGATGTAGTTTATCGTCTTACCCAGGACATCTCATTTGGCGATGGGAGGTGTGGCCTTACCCTTCTGCAAAGATGCAGTCGGCGTATTCTGAAGCCCCAGCTGACAGGGTATAGAGAATTAGAGGACTTACCAGGACTTATTATCGTCGGACACAATCTTCAGATCCGCTGTGTTGTAGGCAAACTCAGAAATGAAACTGTTCTAGACATATTACCAATGTGAGACATCTAGTAAGGATTGAACTCATTACTCTGTCATTGATCAACGGAACTATAGCAGGCGTCTTGCAATAAACGTACAATTTTCCTAGATTCCGGTGGTTAAGTGCATTAACAGTTTTGTCGACCTCATCTTCGCCTACACGAGAACAGTATCAACCAATCAAATGAAAAAACAATTTTATGTTCGAATATACTCATCTCACGAGTCCTGTGACCCCTTAGGGCCGTATGAACAGCACATTTACTCCATCCATAACAGCAGTTGTATGTCTAGGACAAGATAACCTGACGGAGCCTATCCCTCTTCAGGCTGATTTTGAATTCAGAGTTTTCCTTTTCCTAGACTGGTTGCCACTTCAAATGAGCTATTATAGCTGGGGTATTATAATATTTTATTTGAACGAAATTCAATTGCTTTTATAGGTATAGAATTTTCTGTTATTAAATTTCCATGACTAAAAAGGCAATTGAATTTCGTTCTTTTTTTTTTATTTTGCCACGATGAAGATGGACTAATGATTTTGTATCTGAGAAATTCTACGAGAATATCCACAGAATTTACAATGAAATGAATCGTTTAACTTCATTAATAAAAACGCTTCTTATCTTTACTGACGACAAGTGTTGTTCTTTTGAACAGAACGCCATCTTTGGAATGGTCACACTCCAAGACGGAACCTTGCTTACTGCTGCCGGAAGAGAACTCAAAGTTTGGGACACCATGGACTCATTCAAACTTATCAAGGAACGAGTGGTAAGAGTGTTAAACATTCCATTTCTCTGTGCCTTTGAGAGAGAAAGAAAGAGAAATGAGAGAAAATGAGCATATATATTTAGTTTGTATATAGAGAAAAGGTCAGTGAATTTGAATAACGCACGCGAATTAAATGTAGTACAATTTTTGCTGCTACCCTTAATAAGCAATACCCTAATACATCTTTTCACTGTCTCTTTCAAAGTATTACTAATATTTTTCACTGAACGCTGTCCGAACCCGATGTTTCAAACGCTAGTTTTCAAGGCAGGCAAGTTATCACCATTCAAAAAACTGGTGGTACATAATCTTCCTGTTATATTTAACCTAAAGATTGTATCAGAAAATATAATTTAAAAAATTACCGTGTATTTTCTCTTGGTCCGGGTTCATACCAGCATAAAACGCCAGGATTTCGGATCCTGATTTTCGTGGAAGACAATATTTCCCTAGTTGGAAGAGTGTTGGCGGAAAACAATCTTCTTAGCCTAAATTGCACTTGTACAAGATGAAAGTTATTTCTCTCTCTCTCCTTCTCTCCCTCCCCCTTTCTTTTTATATCCCCCCACTCTCTCTCTCTCTCTCTCCCTCTCTCTCTCTCACTCTCTTTCTCTCTAGATATATATTATGATTTGGTAAACTAAGCAATGTCTACTCTGACTACCATTATAAATATTATTAAATATAAAAAGTAAAAGATTTCTAATTTTCGAAATTGTAACTTAATGCATTAAATTCAATTTATAAATCGGCAAATGGTTATTATTTATATCTTAGGCATAATTCCCTTGAGCCTTTCAACCTTTCAAATCCGTCACAATGACTAACCCATATATTATGGATGCTACTCAAAGTCATATATGATAACAGACGATAAAGGCAGTAGAAAATTTTCCTTTGTTCCCCATTTTTTATTTGATATATAAAATCTCTAATGTAAATTTTATGTGAAATCTTTCTTCTCTCTATCGCCCATTATTAGATATTACTTAAATTTATTCTCAAAACATTTAAATATATCTTCTTAATTAATTATTATTATTTGCAGACAATTTAGTTTACTGACAACTGACTTGTTATACAAGTGTCTGATAAAGAAATATTTGTTAATGGCTTATAAAAATGAAAATGCTCAAAAAATCATTGGACAATTAATGTTTAAATTATCCCCAGAAACTAGAAACAATGACCTGAATATATATATATATATATATATATATATATATATATATATATATATATATATATATATATATATATATATCTGAGTGAGGCCTGAGTTCTAATAGCCGACCATACGACCCGTGATCGATTTGTCAGGAAAATGACTTCTTGATGTTACTGGAGATCCCAGCGCATGCTGTACCTTTGTAAAATATCTGAAAACCATACCACGGGTTGACACAATGGTTGTGAGTGAAATTGAGTAGACAGAAACTATTAGACACCGTCGATGGTTGTGATAGCTTGAAGTCGAAAGTCATCATGACCGAGAGTTTCAACGTTGTTCAAACTGATGATCACACCAGATTATACGGTCTTTCCCAGTAGATGTAACTAATTTCCGTTCGACATAGTTGCAGTATAAACTACAGGAGAGCATTGTGGGTAATGAACAAACACTAATGTGCTTGAACAGGTCTCTACAATAGGGATTGGCTTGCCGTCCTAGTAGAGGAGTGTGCTTCGTAAATATATAGCCGACCATCATACACACACACACACACACACACATATATATATATATATATATATATATATATATATATATATATATATATATATATATATATGGACTATCTTGTCGTTTCCGTGTATGCGGGTTCAACAGTTCAGTCCTTAGAACTGAATAGGTAAACCACCCCACATATATGATTTGAAGTGAAGACTTGTACAGAACCATATACACTTTCCGGAAGAACCGAATACACTGTACTGGTGCCTATAGTTAGCCACAAATTCTCCAAACGACTCTCTGAAGGCATTAAATGTACAGGCTCGTAACTGAGAAATCAGAGAACCTAGTTTGAATAGAAATATATATATATATATATATATATATATATATATATATATATATATATATATATTCTATAAGACATGCACTCACATATTTGTATATACATCATACACATTTCCAAATCCTTGAAAGTCTTATTAACCCCATCACAACCACTAAATTCCTGGATACTAAGTTAATAATTAAATTATTACCAGTTAAAATGATTAAAACATCATATTTTATTTATTTATTGTTATGGGTTTTTTTTTCCTACCTTCTCATCTTTCATTTTGAATAAGGCTCTTGTGACCAAAATGACAAGCTATGTTAATTCCATCTCTAATTAAGAAACAAGTATCGCTTCAAGTCGCGCTGTCATGAGTATCCATGGCGATGAGATTGACCAGTTTGTTCACGCCTAGAAATTAATCATTTGTTATTTTGAAATGTATTTCTCACCTCTGGCCTCATTAAGCTAAACTAAGTAAACAGATTCGACATGAATTTCAGTAAAATATTTCTCCCATAAAATAAATAAATCATTAAAAATAATAAAAATGTTATATATTTTTTTTCCAGGAATTGTTTTATTTATTGAATGATGTAAAGAGCCTTCCGAAATACTTCATACAAAACAAGCTTATCTGACAGCCGATTTCCTGAGTTCGAAACACGCGGGTTTCCAATTATTGTAAACTCCTTCAAGACTAAGCTTAGACGAAATTGTCAGTAAATTGTTCGTAATCTTTTCAAACGATCAAAATAAATGTTTATTTTCTGTTGTAAAAAATATCATTGATTTATTTCTCCTAGCTTCCGGAATCTATCGGCAATATCCGGGCTCTTGTAATCCAAAATCCAAGCAGTACAGATGGCGTGATATACCTGGGCACGACAAAAGGCTACATATGGGAGGGCTTCCTACAACACAAGTTTACGCCGGTAGTTCAGGTAACGTATTGTAAGAGTTTTCGCTAAGTGAATTATATATAACATTAGGCAATATATATACACCTGAAATACAATCCCGGAAAATAATCATGAGACACCAGTATGTATGAGGAAATTCTTTATTGACATCACCAAGTGAAAAATAATGAATATTGTATTATTTGATTTTGCAATTCAGGGTACTGTACGGCTATATTAGGTCGAACCACGTGGTATTAGATTTACAAATATTCCCACTTTAGTGCTATAAATTTAAGATTTGTATATTACATTATGTGGGATTTTATATGATGAATATGCCGCGTGAATTTAAAAATCTATAGCCGCTAAAATATTAATAACATGTTTAGGAGTGTCAGGTTTTATTATGCTAACAAAGCAAGTCCGACATAAATGTTTATTTAGAAATAAATCCAAAAGATATTTAATACAATATCCCATAAGTAAATAAATGAAAATCTTTGCTGGTAATATAAGCTCCTTACCTTTACACAACATTAATCTCTCTCTCTCTCTCTCTCTCTCTCTCACTCACTCACTCACTCACTCACTCACTCACTCACACACACACTTTGGTGTCCTACTAGACACAATTTTTTATTGCTTCCCAGAAACCTTGCTTTCCATTGTCATCTACATCTTTAATGATTGACCATCAGTTTTCTATTGCATGAAGCTGTGGGACATTTTATCAAATTGATTTATTCGAAACCTTTTTGGCAAGTAGAGCAAATTATCATTACATGAATTTATACTTTAACTTGAAGCTGCGTCATTGTGACCTGTATCAATCAAAAAAGTATTATTCTCATACCGCATATGATTCCTGGAATGTCTTTAACCAATGTTCTTAATATTCTGCATTTTTTTTTAATCGTTACACAAACTTCTTCGAATATTTTCTTGCTGCTTAATCCACTTTTCTTGATTTTTACACTTTTCATTTTTCTCAAATCGCATTTTTTCTCGTCTTTATCTTATCAAAATAATTCTTTTTTGGTTGTTACGTTTTTTCTTTTAATTTTTTTTTTCGCAAACTCTCAGGTTATTTCCAAACACTCAATACCCTTATAATATCTTGTTTTATTTTTTAAGGCTAAATCTCGCTTACGATTTCTGGCAAAATAAATACTAACAACAATACAGTATAACAAACAATACACGAGTTGCATAATAAAATCCTACAATACCAAACAAGTTATTGTAAATGTTTCTAATAAAACAGATAAGCTGAAATTCATATGGTATATTTAATATCGAAATATATCTTGTAAGATTCACAAATACCAAATTGACATGTGATAAAATCTTACATATTGCAGTGTATCGTTTGGTATTTTCAATAAGGATATTCTGCTAGTGTCTTGCACTTTTCAAATAGTCTCTTTAAAATATGTTCTTTGTAAAGTATGATTATATTTTTGTATGAGATTCAATTGGGATGCAATTCAGTTGCAGCATGAAGAACATCAATTTGATGCTTTGATAAGGAATTGTTAGGAACCGTTTCTGAATGAGAATATTCCAAATTAGCCTCGAAGAGAAGCCATGAATGTCATCAAAGAAAAATGAAAGATAATTTTAGAATAACAATTCACTCTTTTAGAAAACTAGATTTTTTACCGTTTTTTTTTTCTTTTGTCTGCAACAGGAACAGGAACGGTGAAAAATTGGACAAATGAATTTATATACATTGTCAAAAAATTAGAAATGGCATTATTTTGGAATATAACAAATCAATACTATTCAAAACAATAACGAACCATTTTCTGAAACAAATCATTTTTCTTAATGAAAAATTAAACATTGTACGGATATTTTATTTGTTAAAAATATCTCCGTAAACCATAAGGGTCGTTGGGCCACCATATGCAGCTGTAGCATCAGTGGACGCGTCTAGATAAGTTATATAGACGGTGCCCAACACTCGTCATTGCTGCTTCTCCGAAACTGATTGTGATTCAAGTTTAGAAAGACAAGACTGTTTTAATATTTACCCCTAGCTGGTCGCTAGGGAAGATATGGATTCATGCCCTTCCAAAGTAAACACAACGGCCTCAATTTCTTAAATCGCTCTTCCAGTCCCCCTTTTTGTGACACTAACAGCTACTCTACATTCACGTGCTTAAATATAACGAACACTCTAAAATACATTTAATTTACATGTCTCCCTAAAAATCATGTGGTTTAATATTCATTTAGGAAAGGACGGGTTAAATATTCTCAACTGTTTTGTACAGAAGTTGCTGGACGAGATTTATCCAAGTTAATCCTGTCAATTCTGCAACTTTTCCCAACATCTAATAAACATACAGAATTTATTTACACTGTTTACATTGTTTGGATGGTTGCCCTTATCTTTGTTGTTATATTCACAACGTTTCGGTCGTTGTACCCTACGGTCTTCTTCAGATGACTGAAATTTCGAACCGAACCCTTTATTTCGTCCACGTGGATAGATTGTTCTCGTTTCACGGGCCATGCCTCTTCCGGATGTCTCAGTATCAGTTATTTCCCTTTAACTCAACTCTCCAAGTTTTGGTTCACCTGTGGCTAGATACTGAACTCACAACTCTTTGGGTCAAGTTATTGTATTACTTCAACCAAGGCTTTTATCCACTGGGCCAGTCCGAACAATGTAAATAGTCGAAACAATGTCAATAGTGTAAATAGTTACAATATCTCATCTCAGAAATATAGACAGATATACAGAGTTTATTTAAAGATAATCGTTTGTTTTGCGTAAAGTTGAAAATAAAAAAGATAATAGCCAGTCTACTGCAAAATACTCAGATTTTGTATCCCAACATTTACTTCAGATTTGCCAATTAGGAAAGAAAGATTTTTTATTTGTCTGCGTATGAACAAAGTACGCCGACAGACTCAGAGATGTATACACATGTATATATAAAGAAAAGTCAATTCAGTTGATCGTATGTCAATGTTACATGTTCGTAACCAGTCTCTAAAATGGCCGTTAACTTCTTCCATGCTACCTCGCATGTTCACGTCCGCAGACATCAAGGCATGTTGAACACCTTTTGTAACTCTCCGCAAGTGCAGCTTAGATCGTATGCGAGACCGACCTTGTGCATGAAAGCCCCGTATCCCAAACTGGAGTGATTCAACAATGGCCTCACTGTAGACCCCAGGGCCTGGTGGAAGGGGCATACATCAGCGATTAACCATTTGACTTGGCTTCGTACAACTTGATTGCCACATGTCCGCCTATTTCTTGAGTGGAGTACCAGCGGTTTTTCCCTTGAGGGACCACCAGCGACTTGATAACAGTTTACGTGACGTCAGCCTCTCTGGTGTGAGATTCCTCGTTGTGCTTAGGTAATGTAGGACGTGAAATGTGTTTTCATAGCCTCTGTTGAATAACTGTATCGTTAGCTTGTCTCTTCTTAGACCTGGGGGGCGAGATTTCACATATCACAGGAAGGAAGTATATCAGAGTAGACTTGGGATTCGTCCATACTGGAATTGACTTTTCGTATGTGTCCTCTGTGTCATCATATAGGCACACGGGACTCTGCAGTCCAGAAACCAAAAGATAGAGTAATGGTACATAGGACGTGTAAATCTGGTTAAACATTTTTTAATCTTCTCTTTATATATCAACAGGGACACAATCAGAGTGTAAGCGCTGTGACAGTCATCCAAGGGGAGTCAGCTTTTGTTACGGTTGGAGTTGACCATTTAGTTATCAAGTGGTCCATGGAAAATCACAATGTCACCTGGAAAATAATGCTTGAGGTAAGCGATGCTCTCTCTTGGCATTTATTAAGTTTATGTTGCCAAAGGTAAAAAAAATACAGACGATCTTTATTTAATATAAATAGGGTTGAATATTGCATGAAAATTATGCATCTGAATAAATTCTTTTTTTTTTCCGCTGTGAACGAGTTCGGTCAAAGATTCTGATCATTTTGTTTACAGTTGCGCATATTTTGAAAAGTCTTTAGCCACATTTCACTAAATCCTAATCCCAACTTTGCCGAATTTTGGCTCATCCTAATCAAAATAATTTTATTTTAATTACAATATACGCACGCACACACACACACACACACACACACACATATATATATATATATACACACACACACACATATATATATATATATATATATATATATATATGGTGTATGGACACTGAACTGGACTGTGGACTTTTGCCTCTGGGTGTTGATTTCAATATACACTTTTATATTTACATACGCTCTACCCCTTATATTGAGCACTTTAATGAATAAATATAGCATACCTTAAAACTATATTTTATCAGATAGATAGATAGATAGATACAGTCTGCACAGTCTATACCTATAAACAGTCTGATATTGAGCACTTTTCACCAAGAAATAGCGCAAGTTTTAACAATGTGTGTGTGTGTGTGTGTGTGTGTGTGTGTGTGTGTGTGTGTGTGTGTGTGTGTGTGTGTGTGTGTGAAATGAGTTCCAGACCGCATGGCAATATGTGTATGCGATGAGTTTTGTTTTTTATAATAAGGATTTCTATTATTTTAGGTGTTTTCTTTTATAGTTAGAAATGAGTCTTATATTTGTGTTTTTGAAGGGTATGTTGCGTATCGAAGTTGAGATGTTATTATGTTAGTTTAAAAGGGTTCTTATGAAGATTATATATATATATATATATATATATATATAATATATATATATAACCAAAGTTACATCATTGGAGGGCAGAACATCTTTACGAATTGAAATTAAAGGATATCGTACAGATGTTCTGCCACTCCCACATCATTTTAGCTCAGTGATCTATAATTATATATACCAATGCGATGCCGAATATACTAGCAGAACTAATTAGAGGTTGGAGACTAAGACTGATCAGCAAGTATCACCTGATATCCGTCGGGGTCAGTATAGAAATTTGCATACACTTATGAGTACTTCCGGCTCTGCACTCCCAGAACTTTTATAAATTATCTGATTTCGTCTTTTACCAGGAATTTTTTAGCATAATCAACAGAGCGCATTCAATTTACTCTGTGAGAATTATGGAAACTATTTATATTGAGTCTAAGCAGCCTTCCCTCTGTAAGCAGCTGGTTGCTTAGTCTTAATGTAATCAGTCTGTGATTTATACTGCTGATTCGCTTGTAGTATTTGTATCCTCTTATTTAGTCATTGTGTACATATTTATATATTTGCCGTCGATTGGCTCTGAAGAGCGATAAGCGGTTAAGCCCTTTTTGTCATTTCTTTTCTTTTTTGTTGTTATATTTTTTCGATCCATCACTTTACTGTGTTTTTCTTATGCTTGCTTTTCTTACTTTTTTGTTTTTATATATTTTTATATATATTTATACATACTTTTAAAATGTCCGTTTATAAACCCTAAATGAAATTATTACACACTCAACAGATTATTTAATTAATTATATTATTTTTAAAAGGTTTGATCTTATTATGAATACGTTATCATTTCTATTACTTATCTATAACAAAGAAAAAATAATGTCTTTGATAAGGGTAACGCTCTTCTATTAGTAAATTTTTCTCTTTAACAGGGTCCGTGCACCTGTGTGAATATTGACCCACAAGGAGACATGCTAATTGTTGGAACATCTATTGGTCGATTGCATATAATCAATACTTACGACGGCCTTCCAATTACTTCTTTACAGATCAGTACAGAACCAATCAGCTCTCTTCAGTTTTCGCCAAGTACGTCTTCTCTTTTATTCCTTAAATCTCCACAATCATTCAGATAAATTATAATCAATGTAATCCATACCAGTCGATTGGTATTCGATCACTTCAATGCAGATTAAGAGTTAACCAGTCAAAATTGTTTATAGTTTTTTAAATCCCAGTAATTTTGATCATTTGTTGGGTTTTTAACTCGTTAAAAGGTGACCGAGGCTCAATATCAAGTCGTTCTTTGTTTATAAAACTAATTATTAACAACTAAATCAGGGGAAACTACTCTGTAAATAACCAAACTCTAACTACGTTTAAAATTGTACAAATCTACAAATCTCTGATCCGCAGGAGGGAAGTATTAAATGTTTATTGTATATGTTACAATTAAAAAATATTTTTGTACTAACGTGTGAGAACATTCATGATGCAAGAGGAACAAAAGAAAAATAAATCAAAAGTTAATTCATTTTTTTGCATAAAATAATGATACCTGTGAATGGATTTTGCAATTTTGTTTATTTTTATATCAAAGTATGTCATAAAAATATTTTTACAAAATAAAAATATTATTTCACGGGTTTCAATATTTTCTGCAGAATTTTTTTCATTTTTTTCCTTTTTAGGGTAATAATTTTCTTTTCAGTTTTAACAACAAATGCACAAACATACAAAACCCGGATCATTTTTATAGGTGTCAGCGCAAACACGGGCCTCTTACTATTATTATTAATATTAAGTTTCAAACTGAACTGGAAATTGTTTTATTCTGAGAGTTAGAGCATTTTAACGGCTTTTCCCTTGTTTTTATCATTTCACTCCAAGCAAGGCGATAAAGCCACTAAGACGCACAGTGTTACAGAGAGAGAAGGAAACTGAGAAAATGTTATCGAGATGAGATAGGACATTAAAAGACCGAGATTCAATAAGACAGAAGATGACGATTGGCGTTGCATTTAAATTTTGAAGATCATAGTTTGACGAGAAAGGAAAAGAGAGTCCCACAAAGGAGAATTACGAGAGAAGAAACTATTAACTTAGAGTTCACGGATACATCTAGCAGTTTCAGCAGTAAATGAGACCTAGCTGCCAATCTAGTACTGCGATTAAATCTCCTAACCAAAATCTTGCTACAATCTACTGTTTTGCTGTATTACTATGACAAACACGCCCACAAGCAGAAATCGGATCATTTTAATATATATATATACAATTACTATCTTTATAATCAATGTTAATGATCGCCATTCGATCACTCTGATAGAGATTAATGGAGAACCAATTGACACTTATCAGTAAATCAACCAATCTCTCTGTTATAATCTATTTGTTATCATTTTTGTTTTGGTTTCTCTAGTGAGCAGGAAATCGGAATTTGTTATCTTAGCTCAATTGAAATTATATGACATTTGAGTTTTACAAACACTTATGTCTATTTCATCCAACGGCAGACAGCGAACTAACATATTTCCCGCCATTTATTACGATCACGTGCAGGCTTATTTAGTGTCTACCATGCATTAGTTTCTGACAAAAGAATCATGTTATTCCCCTCTCTTTATTTTGGTTTTCCTCTGATTCTTTCTCCAGGCACCATACTCTCAAGACACAGTTTAGCGAGCCCTGCACTAAATCTTTTAAGATGTCCAAATAGTTTTAAGGATTTGATACGGACGGTATCGAAGAACGGGATCAAACTGATTATTTTCAGTTTGTCTCTCAGTTTTGTGATTTGTGACGATACACATCATATGGTTTCGGAATGTTTGATTTTGATCTGAAAGATTTTGAGTCCATATCTCGCAATCTGAATCATATTAAACAATGGGTATAAAGTAGTGTTGACTGGAACTCTTGTTGATTTATTTTAACATCTAACCAAAATCCTAAGAACAATCTGCAATGTTATCGGCCCTGACCTAACATCTCGACTTCAGTCATTTTCTCGGCGTCGTAACTTACCTTTCTGTGCCTTTCTCTAAAAATACTTTCGTGGTAATGTTCTGATGAACTTTCCTCTATGGTACGTAGACTTTATGAATTTAAGCATAGTACAAGATTGGCGACAATGTCTGATTATTTTACAATTGAAATGGCGAAGATGTAAGCTAAGATACTTCACAGTTCGTGTAATGCTTCACGGTTCCAATAAGGCGATATTTGGCTGTTGTGTGCATGCGCACACATGTCCGAGAAAAGAAGCTAGACTCTGGTTGGAGAGAGTACTGTCGTTCACGCAATGCCGACTCTGTTGTCCGAGTCTAGGGTCGTATCGATTTTTGACTCTGCGTATGCTTAAAAACCGTGTACTATATTTTTGAGCATAATAAAATGTAGATAACTATCATGTTTCCAGCTATTCTATTTAATTCATTGTTTTGTTTTATGTACAGAAAATATTAATAATTTAACTCTGACCTACTTGAATCCTCAGGAAATAAGTTCTGTGACAGTAAGTGAACTTCAACAGCTTAAGTTTTCACAGTCGTCTCTCTATGAAAAAGTTACAGTTGAGAAAAGAGACCGTTCAACACCTGATATTCAAATATCTTAGTCAGTAATAAGTAACAAGACGTATATTCGTAGCTTTAATTCTAAATAGTACCAATGGAAAAGTTACGTCTTCGGATGTAAAGTGAAAAATGTATTGTTCTACTTCCCCTGTTTGCTGCATGTAGGTGATGTAACGTGGACAAAAGACACTTTTAAAAATATAAAGAAAATGAAAGAAAAAAACTGAAAAACATAAATGAGTTGTATGCTAATACAGTGATCCTTCGCGGATTTTTAAAATATATATATGGTAAATGTATCGCGGAGTTTCTAGAAAATTCTAGAAAAATCGCGATATATGAACACTTAAAATTTTTCATTAAACACATGAAAATATTAATAATGAATATTATTTCCTTGTCTAGGAACAACAAAACAAGCGTAAAATAGCAATAGAAAGGGCACCGCCGTCTGAAGAGACGTAAAATACAATTATTGGCTGCACAGTAGAAATCATCATCAGCTTCATCATCATCATTTCTACTGTGCAGTAAATTCATTACCATTATCATTCAAATTCTACTTCAACTTCTATCGTGTTGAATACAGTAAGAATCATTATTTTTTTTAATCTAAAGTGTTATTGCTTAACAGTTGTCCATGTTATTAATAAAGTACTGTAATGGGTGGGTTGTTAACAGTACAGTGAGGGTTTTAAAAGTCCAAATACACGTTAAATAAATACTGTAAATATAGCGTCCCTACTTCGCGGAAATTCAGTTATCGCCCCGGTCTCGGGACCAATCTACCGCGATAAACAAGGGATCACTGTAGTTTCTTTCGCTTGTGGGACTCTCTTTCGGCTTCTTGCTTTCCAGTCAAGTTTGATCTTCAAATGTTTAAATACAATGTCAGTCGTTATCTTCTGTCTTCATAATTCATGTTCTTTTATTGTTCCCGCTCCTTAATTTTTTTGTCTCATATTCTTTTACACTTAGTAACCTCTTGCGTCTTAGTTGTTTTATTGTCTTGCTTGGGCTGAAATGATTAATAAAAAAAATTCAAAACAAATCATTCAAGCATTTAACAGATGGCTGATGTACTATGCTGTGTCATTCATGACATTTCTAATGTGGATTACCTGAAGGCGCTTTAAAATAATTATTTAATCAAATTCTGGTGAAACAGAAACGATACAGTTATAAAAAGAATCTTGGCAAGAGATCGTTTAATAAATTATACATATTTTTATATGTGGCCAATGCCTGTATATTATTTATACCATATTTTACAAATAGCAAACTGATCATTAACCTGAATGCCTATTTCGAATGAGAGCTAATATCCATCTTATTTATAGCATTTAAGAGCCGCAGGTTTTATAAGTAATGCATTGATCAATAAAAGAAAAGATTCTATTTGAAGTTAAACTTTTCCTTTTTCGAAAAATTGTATGGAAATCAAATACGAGCGAAAACTTAATATTTTTCGACATTATTACGACTAAATTGCACAAGGTTCAAACGTCAACATAACAGTTTGAATATTTTCCCTGATTCAATTTGTAATAATAATATTTATTGTTTTAGATTATCACAAGTATTAAATAAGATACAAGATATTATATATTTGTCATCGCTAAAAATCAGTATATAATAATGAACTTCAACAATCCTGTATCAGGAATAACAATTTCAAGTATTTATTATACTGGACTAATTAACTAAAACACCGACTGTTTTTGCATTCATCCAGTTCAGTCCAGGCAATCATTTTCTCACAATATTGTGATAAGGGATCAGAAATATTTCCAAGCCTACAGTAATCCAGATTAAACAAAAACATTCTAATTGCATCATGAAGATAGAAATAATCCCCTTAATCATCAGCTGCTATCATTTTAAAAGAGTTCGGAATATGAGCAATTTATTTGCGTTATATTAGATCCTGATTTTTTGAAACAGTATATAAAAACATATTTTATATATATATATATATATATATATATATATATATATGTGTGTGTGTGTGTGTGTGTGTGTGTGTGTGAACAAAATAACACCCATACATGGAATACTGAATTAACAGATACTAACAGGGATATAGACGGTCGTCTTAAATTCTTAGATGTAGCATTTTCATTCTTCCACAATCTTATTCAGAGAAACAGCCTCGTATTTATTGACTTAACTTATGTTCTCTCCAGTCTTCTCTGGAATAATTCAAAGATCCAAATGTCGAATACCCACATCATAACTATAAATTATTTATTCTGAAAAGTTCAGGCAATATCTATTGAAAAGGCCTGCTACTAGTTATGCCAAATGTCTTTTCTAATTAACATAAAATATTATTAATCTATTATTCTTTCCTACGTACTTCGACGTAACTTAAGGATTAGCACGCTTATTTTGCCAAATGAATCACGACTGGGTAGTGAGTTCGATTCTCGCTGGTTGTTCCATAGTTGAGGACTTGTGCCACATCTAAGCTATGTTTAGTAAATCACCATTCTTTATATTTCCTAAACA